TTTTCTAATACTTCTGTGATTCCTGCATTATCTGCTTCTAGTTCCATCTTGAATTTGGACAGCTCTTGATCAAGCTTTCGTAAATGCCTATCAACCTGAACAAGCAAAACCATGACCATATCAAAACCTATAATAACTATGTTCTTTGTACCGCAGTGGCATTGATCAACAGCTAGGGTTTGTCTGGTCCAGACAGGTTCTCATAATAAGGATACAATAATGCGGACACACTCACTTACCATGTTTACTCACTCATTTGTTATTGTTTATTTGTGGAACATAAAAAATAGCAAAGATTGAAAAAACTTCCTTTTTACATTTTAACAGCTACAATTGCATTGACTGAGTATCTTCAACAAAGCAGGGCAAAAAATTGTTCAGACACATCTGTGCACCCAACAGTTTACTTGAGGCTGACACTCACCAAGTCGTATATATGATTAGCCAACTGCACTTTTTCATCTGCATCTTCTTTGGCCTTATAGTAATCCTAAAATATATGTAAAATCATAACTATATAAATTGTAAGTACTAAAAAAATGAAAATCCATGAATTGCTTGATTACATATCTTGGTCTTATGTGTTGAATAAATATGTGTCCACTATGCAAAAGTGCATTGTTTGGAAAATATATATACATTCTGTGTCCCAAATAATGCACAAAAATTAATTATTCTACATGAAAGTCATGAATCAGTTTTATCAGTGGTTTGAAAAGAGCCAGTCTCTTAATAAAACTAAATGTATTACTTATCAAGTTATACCATGTCATATCAAAGAAAACATAGTTTGACGTGTCACTGAGTAGTATGGCTGGACCCTCCCACAACACCAGGAACCTTACAATTAAATATTGGGAATCATCTGGGCCCCACCTTAACTAATACAGGCAAATCCGTGATCAGACATAAATACATGAAATAGAAGATTAGTTTCCCTGGATTGGAGAATTAGATTGCATAACTGTCTACAATTAACTAGTTAGTGACATTTATTTACACTGGACAATGAAACCTTTGTTACAAATCTTTCTTAATTGGATTCCAACAACAAATTATTCAGATTCACATCAAACTGGAAATACTGTACCTGTTTTATTTTCTGAAATTGTTCTTCTTTCCATTCAGGCTTCACATTTGGTGTAACACATTTGGTGAAAAAAGTCTTGACCCTTTCTTCCAGACTGTCAAGGGCATCTTCAAAAGCAAAAAGTGATTCAGTGAGTTGGCTGAACAGTTTTTCCGACATACCATGTGCTTAATGTAGAGCGAGCCAAAGAGAAGCAGTTATTCAACAGTTACCACTTTGGTGTCACCACAAGCATCGGCATGGTGTCAGAGCTCCAGATAAGCTTTTGGTGTTGTGAGTATTTTACCCATGCATTTTATAATCATTGGGTATCAGTAATTCTATCTGGGTATTCAAATTTCTGTTACCCACTAGTTTTTACACATGTGGGTATTTAAGTTAAATATTTAAAAACACATTATTCATCAAGTCTCTGCAAACTGCTGTCGTGTTGGTTCGAGAGCTTTATAGGACTCACAAATACCACGATACTTCCACAAGAAAGTAATATGGCAAATGATCATGATGTAACTGTCATCGTGGAGTTTGGCAAGGTTGACGGAATGCCCAGTTATAATTTCAAAATAACTTGCTGATTTGCAAATCGAATACGCAGTGTTACTTCACAATATTTTGATGATACACACAAGTTTAATTTTATAGCTTATCTGTAATGTTCGTTGCGTATTTGATACGCTTGGATTTTATTTTACTGCATATTTCTGCATTTCTGAAGCGTATTTTACGCAGATACGCAGCTTATCTGTAGCTCTGTGGTGTTGATAAATCAAGAATCATAATCAGGACGATTCTAGGATTTGAACCCACAACAATAGGATTCTACCACTTTGGTGAAACCCAGGAGCAAGGGCATGGTGCTCAACCAAGAAATATAATCAAACTGAAGGACGCAACTTTGAGCAGCGAATTGCCTTAGAAGACTGAGTTACCGAAATATACAAAAGAACTCAGAAGGTGACAATAAATCTTCCTGGTCCCCACAAATTTGAAAGAACAAATCATTTGACTTGTTTCTTTAAGTCAGACTTGATGAGAGAATTTCTGTCAAATCTGACTGTCCGACAGTGTCCGTATACATAAGAAGTTATTGAGCTACCAAACAAAATACCATGGAATTGGGATTCGGAACTCGGTATTTCTATGTCAGGTACACACCAATATGAACAGAGACAAAGTCAAACTAGTTGCCATGGAAATGGTAACTAAAATATATATATTTTAAAAATCCCTAATAGCAATAGGTACTGAGATGACAACCTGATCTTAATGTGTGCAAAGTGTCATGAAGGCATACCTAGCGAGTATTAGTTTTAGAGACAAGGTCCAGACAGACTCAACACTATGAACAGAGTCAGAGTCAAACTTCTTGCCTGTTTGATATATCCTCCCAGTTTTGTTGAAAGATATTGAACGTTTTTTTAGTTGTGCTCCGGAAATGAAATCCACCCCCCTTTAGAGACTAAGTCCAAATTGTTTCAATGAAAATCAAGAAAAACATAAACGCCAACAACCTGTAAATAGCAAAAGGCACCACTTCAGGATCTGTTTGATTTGTTGATATATCTGCCAATTTTTGTTAAAAAATATATAGTTTTTGAGTTGTGCTCTGGAAACAAAATAATGTATTGACGAATGTATGGACAGACTGACGAGGCGTCAACTATATCCCCCTGCACAATATACCTGGGGAGGATAAAAAACTATATCCCCCTGCATAATGTGCCTGGGGAGGAAAATCAATCAGTCCTTTATACATTTCTTTGTTTAGAAGTAGTTTCTGTCTCGGCGGCCAATACAATAATGACTAAATGTGCAAACCAAACTGATATGGCTGAAAATTACTAAATATTGCATAAAACCAGAATCATTATTTTAACAGCTGTTAACTTCTGTCTGAAATTCAGAGGGAAAAAAACACATTTTACAAATTCTCCTAAGTAAACCACGTTTGCACAAAATGACGAGATTACTTCTATAAAACTGTTGAACTGCCAATCAAACAGATAAAGTAAAAAACACAAATACCATTTGGACTGACATCTCATTTTCCATCAAAACAAGCAGACAACACGGAAGTGAAAGCAATCCTGCAGGGGCAGATAACTCTTCACTCACATTTGCCGGTCATAATCAAAATAAATAAACTATTTGCACTGACCTATTGCAATCAAAGACTTACTTTGAACTTCTAAATCCATTTCACGCATTTCAGTTAGCCTCTCTCGCATTTCCATGGGCAGATTTTCGATCACTGAAAAGAAATGAGCATGAGAACTGAGTTAGCTAGCAGATGGTCACAGTTTGGACAGGGTTCAGACAATTTCGGCTACGCAAATAGCACGTGTCAAGATAATTACGTTCACTTTATTTTATTCCGCATAAGAATTTTACGTTAAATAGACTTACTCTCCAAGTAATCTTCCAGGTACAGCATTTTGTTGGTTCTCAGTCTACCCGCATGAAATACAAATGGCGTAGTTTGTGTTTTGGTGCGAGGCAATGTAACGATGTATCTGATTGGTCCATGAGAAATTATCTCATGCACGATTTCGTGATAAATGTGCAATTATTCATGCTTTATTACAATTATATCACAACCCTAGCTTGATGAAAAAAGCTTTACTGTACAAATCATGGTGCCTTAGATGATGACAACATTGACGTTATGGAGCAGTTGTATAAAAGATCAATATTCGCTTGACAAAGAACAACCAATCAAACGAGGTTTTATGAAAGTAAATAAAAGGCGACCATGTGCTTGGAAATCCTAAAACTGAAACATGCAAGATAGTATGGAAAAGGATTCACCATGCAAGGTAGCACGCTATGGATGACCCCAGACAGAAGTGTGGGAATGCTTCTTTTCTGTGGAACTTTTACGGCTTTCATATTTTTATAGAAATATAGTTTAACCCAAAGGCATACATATATATATATATACAAAGGTGGTATATGTGCGTGCGTGCATGCTTGCTTGCTTGGGTGCGTGCGTACGTCCGTGCGTGTGTGTGCGGATGGAGGGTGGATGGGGGAATAACTACTAAGGATTTAGTTTTAAGAGTTGATGAAATGTTTACTCGCCAGGACTTATTTATTAATAACATGACTTTGGGACTAATACCCCTATATCAACAAAACTTTTGGTAACTTTTATTTTGGCCTTATTACCCGCGGGGTTCCATTCTCCGAATTTAAAATAACGCCTTAATAGGTCATTTCTTTTCTTTTTTTTAAAAATCCATAGGGTCTGTAGGCATAGGCAAAAGACCCTCTCTCAAAAGTGCAGTAAATATTTTTAATAACCAAAATGAAAAAAAGGTGTTTTGTAGGGGAGTCGAATGTATTGACGCACGCTTGGGACTTTGATCATACTTAATTGCCTTCTGTGGAGGTGTGCTCAGATCTAAACGCTAAACGCTTAGAAGTATATCGTATCGTGCAAAGCGAGCCGACCAGTCCTTGTTTTAGCCCCTTTAGCGCCAGACAGGGTAACAACAAGTACCGTCTTTTAACGTCTTTGGTATGGCGCGGCTGGGGATCGAACCCCGGACCTTCCGCTCTCCGGGCGGACGCTCTACCATTAGACCACGGAGGCGGTCTTTTTGTCATTAAACAATATAAGACGTGATTCACCACGGGTCCGGGTAGTCCTGTGGGTACCCGGGTTCTACTCAGTACCCGAGTTACCCGTCCCAGCCCTAACTTCCCCGTAACCACCGTTGTATGTATCCTTTTTTCGATGGCCTCAAAACACACGTAACACTTTTCATGACATACCCCATAATAAATTACCAGTCCCTAAATGTTTGCATTTGAAAATGTCCTTCACTAACATTTTGGGTTCTTCTTTTAAGCCTTCTTCACGTCACAGTCCTTATTTTTTATGCAACCCAAAGGTTAAGGTCAATGCCGGGTCAAGGCCATTTATCAACGTGCCTTCAATGTTCGCAATGCAGACTGTGAGGACCAGTGTTTTTGTGCAGCGTTGTGTGCGCAAACTTAGACATGACAGCATCGCTAAGAGCGTATTTAGGTTCAACAATACGGTAAAGAGCAAGCATGATTGGGGAATGGAGCTATTACTATTTTTGAATTAATGTCGACACCAAGAGAGGTGGAATACGATACCATATTAGTCGCGTATGATCATGTCGGCACGGAGCTGGCGGCAGTCACTTAAAACATGGAAGAGAACTCGCTAAGTTCTTTCTATTACTTGGCATTGCGTTTCATGTGTCACATGCATACGCATACTTCTTAAATTGTCTTCGTCATATAAATCTATTATTCATATATATTATTTATATATAATTATTATTCGTTTAGCTCACCTGATGAAATCTCTCTTGCACACTACCATCCTTAATAAGTTTAACCAATACTTTATGACTTTAATTTGTACATAAATATATGTAGTGGGAACCTACCACATTCACCATATACAACTACATTGGGAGTGTGACTCTTTACTCATAAATATCTTTTGCATTTATTTACATGCACCCCTTCAAACAAACCAAACTAATGTAACTGATGTACACCCAAAGCCCAAACCTGATGTACCCCGCCGTGATATTGCTGGAATATTGCTAAAAGTGGCGTAAAACCATACTCACCCACTCACTCACTCCTCTCTTATTTTCACTTTAGACCGCCTCTGTGGTCTAATGGTAGACCGTCTGCCCGGAGAGCGGAAGGTCCGAGGTTTGATCCCCAGCCGCGTCATGCCAAAAGACGTTAAAAGATGGTACTTGTTGTTACCCTGTCTGGAGCTCGGAATTAAGGGTCTAAAACAAGGACTGGTCGGCTCGGTGTCAGTATACTGTGTCTGAGTGGGGTATTCATGTTAGACTGCGGCATGGTATCTCAGTGTGATAGCACTATAAATCGGTATCAGTCTGGACTAGTACAAGCAGCCACACACACACACATACATGCACGTCGCTATATAAGTGCAATAATCTTGAACGGGACGTTATACCCCATTTCACCACACCTTATTTTCACTTTTAGGGGATATCAAAGTGCAGCAATTAATATTCAATGTAATAGTTTGGAACAAAATAAATCATTATCTCAACATCCAATTACTATTCATATATATTCTGAACATTTTATTTCTGAAACAAATGTTATTTTTTTACTTTTCAGAGTTCCAATTTACAAAGAACTTGTTTGTACGATTTCCATGTTGCCCAAAATGGGAAAATGGTTCCGTTTGCTGGCTGGGAGATGCCAGTGCAGTACAAAGACACTATATCAGAGTCTCATCTGCATGTGAGGGAAAATGTTGGCATTTTTGATGTTTCCCACATGCTACAAACAAAAGTAGTTGGCAAAGATCGTATTGAGTACATGGAGTCTCTCGTTCCTGCTGATGTTCAGGGCATGAAGGACAACACTGGGACACTGTCAGTATTTCTGAATGAAAAGGGTGGAATTTTGGATGACTTGATTGTCACAAAGACGACGGAAGATTATCTGTATGTTGTGTCAAATGCGGGATGCATTGAGAAGGATTTCTCCAATATGCAGGTACTGTTGTTTTGCAATTGTCAGCATCAGACATGTTGATTCCTCTGATTACTTACAACTGGTTGGTTGGTTGTTTTGTTGTTTAACGCCACACTCAGCAATATTATATCTATATGACGGCGGTCTGTAAATAATCAAGTCTGGACCAGACAATCCAGTGATTGATATCATGAGCATCAATTGTTACCCTGTTTAACATTAAGGAGCTAAAACAAGGACTGGTTGACTCGGAGTCGGTAAACTATATCCGAGTGGGGAATCCATGTTAAACTGTGGCTGGGTATCTTAGTGGGCGTACACAATAAAACCGGCATTAGTCCGCTGGTTCCTTGTCATAACCCTGATGATAAAACTGAAGATTTAGATGTCCCTAGTTTAAAACACTCAGTAGATCTCGACCTGTGAAGGGGCGGTCGGGTAGCCTAGTGGTTAAAGTGTTCGCTCGTTACGCCGAAGACCCGGGTTTGATTCCAGACATGGGTACAATGTGTGTAGCCCATTTCTGGTTTCCCCCACCGTGATATTGCTTGAATATTGCTAAAAGCGGCGTAAAACCATACTCACTCACTCACTCGACCTGTGAAGATCCAGGTTAGAATAGGTCTTCAGCAACCCATGCTTGCAATAAAAGGCGACTATTCTTGTTGTAAGGGGTGACTAATGGGATTGGGTGGTCCGACTCGCTGACTTGGTTGATAGGAGAGGCTTAGAAGGGACATAACTGGTAATAGCCACTGGTGGCGCTACTTTTCATTCTGTGGATTTCACAAACTTCTTTACAAGGCATTTAGAAGTTGGAGAAGTAAGGATAAGAATTTATGGATGAACAACTTCTTTATTACAAAAAACCAACAAAATCTTGCATTATAACGGTGTTAGAAACTACACCGAAACGTCGCTCTTAATTGTAATAAATAAGTTGTTCATCTATAAACTCTTATCCTTACTTGGATTTAACAAAGTCTAATTCATAGCTAACTCCTTTTCCTTTTGTATATTTTTCAGAACAGGGCAGAAGCATGTAGGAAAAAAGGGCTTGATGTCAAGGTGGAGAAAATCCAGAATGCATTAGTGGCTGTTCAAGGCAGGTGTTAATTTTTACCAGACTCACTCTGTTTAGCACAGTTCCCAATAACCAATGATACAATAAATGTATCTAGGATTCCGAACTTATTGCCCTTGGGAGGCAAATTGGGAAGCATTTTTTATTTTGTTTAAAATTAGGATTATTTTATGTTCCTAGTTTCAGAGGCATTTTAACATTGCATTGTTACATTACAGTCAATACATTATGTCAAATTAAGCCTCTTACACGTTTTTGGTCCTTTTTGGTTATCAGTTGAATATAAGTCGCCTTGTTACAAGTTATTACCATATTTACATGAACTAGCAACTTATTTGTTCCCATTTGACACTTTCTGCAGATTTAGGGTGGAATATTGGCTTCTGAGCACATCTAGATACGTACCTGTGGTGTCGTGAATGCACAAGCCCGCTATAAGTGTAAAGGGGGGCACGGGTGGCCCAGTCGTCTAAGGCGCCACAATTAGCTGTGCAGAGTTGCGTCCCTTGGGCACACCAGAAACCTATGATTGTGGGTTCGAATCCTGGTTCGCCCCGATTATGTTTCTAGGTTTGTCAGCACCATACCCGTGCTTGTGGGTTTCACCGAAGTGGTAAACGTCAAAGACCTGCATCACTTCGGGCTTTCCTCCCACATTAAGCTGACATGATATGACTGGAATACTGTTAAAAGCGGCGTTAAACCAAACTCACTCACTCACTCACTATTAGTGTAAAGTGACAAGTGTCCATTCTTAGTCAACTAATGACATGAGGCAATGTATGACCTTCACCTGACAACAACTTTCAGCCTTGCAATCATACCAATCACTGTGGCTGAGTTTGCCAGTGGAACAAGAAATTCTTCACTGGATCAGGGGCTGTCGGGTAGCCTAGTGGTTAAAGCGTTCGCTCGTCTTGCCGAAGACCCGGGTTCGATTCCCGACATGGGTACAATGTGTGAAGCCCATTTCTGGTGTCCCCTGCCGTGATATTCCTGGAATATTGCTAAAAGAGGCGTAAAACCATACCCACTCACTTGACTGGATCAACTGGGAAAGGAGTCAAAGCAGCTAACACCCCATCATACTCAGTCTGCTCCACATCTTCAAAGTAGTCATAAATTTCATCAGTTCGTCATCGAGCCTCTCCTATTACGTTCTTCATTAGGACAAGGCAACCAAGTAGTAGTGCTGCCATTTTGGAAGACTGCGCAAGCGTTTCTAACTGTTCCAGACCCTTGGATGAACGATTAATTTGCCTACTCTAAGCGATTCATTGCTGAACGTGCCCCTAATGTATGCAGGGCAGTGGCACATGTTGCAGGAGAAATATTCCCTCCTATATGGTGTACCGGTAGTCTGAGCACTCCCTGGAAGCCATCTTCCCGAGGCAAGAGAGTTAACTGACTTTAAAAGTCCAGTTCCCACCCTTGCCGAACTAGGCTGGTATTATGGAGTTACATTTTGGCTTGACTAATGAGTCTATGCATAGTCCAATCAAAATCGTGCACCGAAATCGAAATCCGGTTCGTAGAGTGTCATGCAGATTTCGGTCGACTGTAGGATTTGCAAAGCATGTACACCGCTAACTCGTTGTCAACAGATATTTTCTAAATCTTTTCATGTTTTTAATCAAGGTGCTCACGTGATTTGATGCACTTCACGATGTAAGATTTGTTTTATCACAATATGGATCTTGATTATCGATCAGACTGGGCGCCACCATTTTGTTTGAAACAAATGCAAGTGATACGAGAGGTTGAATCTGATTGGTCAATAGGAGAGGCATAGAAAGGACATAACTCGTAATAGCCACTGGCAGCGCTATGATCGAGCCCAGGAATTCCAGGATAGTTCGGCCAGGGTGGAAACTGGACTTTTGAAGTCAGTTAACTCTCTTGCTTCGGGAAGATGCTGGAAGCAGGTTGAGTAAATACAAATAGCAACTACGCCACATGTCAGCCATATGTTCATGAGGACCATAGTGTATATGGAACATACCCCTGAAGTACTGACGGTGTGTGTGTAGAAGACCTGGGCATCATTCGACACAGCGATCTTCAGGGCTCCCAGGGT